CGGTCAAGTCTGGCCTCGATTCGTCATATTTATAATCTTCGCGCAACTTCTTGTCGTTGGCGATTGAAGGGTCTAAAGGCTTCCCAGATGCCAAAGATGCTCGTAGCTTCGCTCTTTTCTCCGATATTTCTGCGTCGCGGAGCGTCAAAGCTCGTCGATATAGGTAGTCTCGCCGTTGGCGGGCTTGTTTACGCTTTTGAGGTGGTTAGCATTGCATTTTAGAAATACTTGGTGGGGGTGTAAAGTTTCTGGAAAACTTTCTTGCAGCTTCCAGAGAACCGCGTTTTTGAGAAAGCGCAGAGAGGTCGCAATGATTCTACCAATAAGGGGCGCAAAGAATGGACAGGAGAGCAACTTACAATCATATTTGCGTGTTTGGCATAAAATTGAGAAATGTTGTGCGACTGAGAGTCGAATATATAAATTTTGCTGACAGGGTATAGTTCGGCCCGCGCTAGTTCAGTTTATACCTTGATCGCGGCTCCCTCATCCATCCCACATTCAAGTCAAGGGAACACACAGAATCTTCTCCTGCACCACTTTCTCTCCCTCCGACCGAATTCTACTGCGCTTGAAGTTGCAGGTACCAACTACACGACGATGACTTGAGAGCCAAAGTCGCGTTTGCAACAAAATTCTCTACCCTTCGCGCCACACAAGGCTACTGAAGAAATATACGAAGAAACGTAAGTATTCTGCTCACGCAGCAGTGCTACCATTTTCACAGCTCGACTTCTACAGGGACGGTCGCACATAACGGATCCTTCTTCCTTATTCTTGAGACTCCCCGGCTAATCATACTCTGCTTCGCAGGTCTTGAAGACGACTATCACGATGGAGGGCGCCTTCACCCACCTGGGAAACCACCTCATATCTGACTCTGCTGCTGCCATTAACGCTGGCGCCGACGATCTCTCAAATATCGATCCTGACGAGAGCCTTCTTTACGGACAGTATGGAGGACGAGGAGGCCTTGGTCCAAGCAGGAGACGAAACGATGACGATGACAACGAGACGGAGGTTTTTGACGACGATGATGCAGAGAGTTTGGCCAGCATGCCAGTCGAGGGTATGAAGACACTAGGACTCAGAGGACAAGAGGACGAGAAGGAGCTCCCTGCCCACGCTTGCGCGTAAGTGCACATCACCACCACGAGGTCCAGGATAAAGGTTAACATTTGGTGAAGATACTGTGGCATTCATTCTCCAAGCTGTGTTGTTAAGTGCTTGGGATGTAGCAAATGGTTCTGCAGTGCTCGTGGCAATGCGACATCTTCTCATATTGTCAATCATTTGGTCCGCGCCAGACACAAGGAGGTACAACTTCATCCTCAATCGACCCTTGGAGATACTGTTTTGGAATGCTATAACTGCGGTACTAAGAACGTTTTCCTGCTCGGTTTCATCCCAGCGAAGTCCGATACAGTTGTGGTCCTTCTATGTCGCCAACCTTGTGCCTCTACACCGTCCTCGAAGGATATGAGTTGGGATATTTCAAGATGGCAGCCACTTATTGAGGATCGTTCATTTTTGCCATGGTTGGTGTCTGTGCCTACAGATGCCGAACAACTCCGTGCTCGACACCTGACCCCACCAATGATCGCTAAATTGGAAGAGATGTGGAAGGATAACATTAATGCTACGATTACTGATCTTGAAAAGGCAGCTGGAATTGACGACGAACCTGCCCCTGTCTTACTCAAGTACGACGATGCTTACCAGTATCAGAATGTATTCGGACCCCTAGTCAAGATCGAGGCAGACTACGATCGCAAGCTTAAAGAGGCACAATCCGAGGACGGCCTAATCATTCGATGGGATTATGGCCTGAACAACAAGCATCTTGCCAGCTTCGTTCTTCCTAAGATTGAGCTTGGCGACGTCAAGCTTGCGGTAGGTGACGAAATGCGCCTGAAATACAAGGGTGAGCTGCGGCCAGTTTGGGAAGGCGTTGGATATGTTATCAAGATTCCAAACAACCAATCCGACGAGGTCACAATCGAATTACGGAAGGTCGGTAACGACAAGTCTGTTCCTACAGAATGTACCCACAACTTTTCCGCCGACTATGTCTGGAAGGCTACTTCATACGACCGTATGCAATTCGCCATGAAAACATTCGCTGTTGACGAAATGAGTGTTTCTGGCTACATCTTCCACAAGCTTCTGGGTCACGAAGTTGCTGCAGCTCCTATGAAAATCCAGATGCCAAAGAAGTTCAGCGTCCCAGGTTTGCCAGAACTGAACAGCAGTCAAATTAATGCAGTTAAGAGTGTTCTGCAAAAGCCTCTCAGTCTCATTCAAGGTCCACCTGGTACAGGAAAGACTGTTACTTCTGCCACCATCATCTACCATCTTGCCAAAGTCAATGGTGGCCAGGTCCTTGTCTGCGCGCCCTCTAACGTTGCTGTCGACCAACTTTGTGAGCGTATCCACCGAACCGGATTGAAGGTTGTCCGTCTTACGGCCAAGTCTCGAGAGGATGTTGAATCTTCTGTCGGTTTCCTATCTCTTCATGAGCAAGTTCGAATGAATGATAGCAACCTCGAATTGACCAAGCTCTCTCAACTGAAGAGCGAACTCGGCGAACTGTCCAGTCAGGATGAGAAGAAGTTCAAGACCTTGACAAGAGCTGCCGAACGCGAGATTCTCAGCAACGCTGACGTTATTTGCTGTACTTGCGTTGGAGCTGGTGACCCACGATTGGCCAAGATGAAATTCAGAACCGTTCTTATTGACGAATCCACTCAGTCGGCCGAACCTGAGTGCATGATTCCACTGGTCCTAGGCTGTAAACAGGTTGTTCTGGTCGGTGATCACCAACAACTTGGTCCAGTCATCATGAACAAGAAAGCTGCCAAGGCCGGTCTCAACCAATCACTCTTCGAACGTCTGGTCACTTTAAACCTCATGCCAATTCGACTCAACGTCCAATATCGTATGCACCCTTGCCTTTCTGCGTTCCCGTCAAACATGTTCTACGAAGGTTCTCTTCAGAATGGTGTCACCATGCAGCAGCGACTCCGCCGCGATGTCGATTTCCCATGGCCGGTTGCAGACACTCCCATGATGTTCTGGTCCAATCTTGGCAACGAGGAAATTTCAGCCTCCGGGACCTCCTACCTCAATCGTACTGAGGCGTCAAACGTTGAGAAGATTGTCACTCGTTTCTTCAAGGCAGGTGTTCAGCCTCAAGATATCGGTGTCATCACTCCATATGAAGGTCAACGAAGCTTTGTTGTCAGCTCAATGCAAAACACTGGCACCTACAAGAAGGAGAGCTATAGGGAGATCGAAGTCGCTTCCGTCGATGCTTTCCAGGGTCGTGAGAAGGACTTTATTGTCTTGTCTTGCGTTCGTTCCAACGACCACCAAGGTATTGGTTTCTTGAGCGATCCTCGTCGTCTCAATGTGGCCTTGACTCGAGCTAAGTATGGTCTTGTCATCCTTGGGAATCCCAAAGTTCTCTCTAAGCACCCACTTTGGCATTATCTCCTTCTCCATTTCAAGGAGCGCAACTGTCTTGTTGAAGGCCCACTTTCGAACTTGCAGACATCTCTCTTGCAGTTCAGCCGACCCAAGACAACTTATCGTGGACCTCAGCGATACCAAATGGCCCACTCCACTTTCAACGGACGCGCTGGTACCAATGGTAAGGCTCCCCAGGATTACGATGCTGGTTCCATGATGAGTTATATTCCCGACGATGTCTCGTCTGTTCACTCTTCCGCCCTGGGTGGGGCAGGTGTGGGATCCGCCTATCCTCAGATGTTTTCGAACTTCCACCCAGACACTTGGCCAGGTCTCGATCCTCGTGCTCGACCAAATGGTCAGAAGGCCCGCGGCCGCGGTGCTGAGAGTATTGCCGGCGAATCTATTGCTGCCAGTGAGCTCACTGATACTACAAGCAGCGTTATCGATGGCAAAGGAATTGGTCAAGGCGGGGTCAGCTTAGGTGCAGGCTTAGGCGAAACCCAAAAACAGACCAGCTTAAGCCAGTCAGATCGCCTGAAGCGTTATGTTGAGTCCGGTGGACGTATTGCTGACTACAAGACTGGCGATGCTGGCAGTGTCTTTGGAGCAAGCTCTTTGTTGAGTGGCAGACGTCTCGACGACGACGAGAAGAGTGTCTCTACAGCATTTGCAAGCCAAATTGGCTCAGGCTACGACTGATCGATTACGGGAAAGTCCTTGACTCTTTGGACAAACATCTCATCACAACGAGTTGGCCACAACAATGTTACCGGCTGCCATCATTCAGCACGGCATAGCCACAAACCTTTCAAATCATTGATAAGTCTGATGACTACGTCGCTCTACCACACCAGGCGGCTTCGAAACTCAAGCATGCCCGACCTGCCACCAAGGTAGATGGAGGTGAAAGGATGCGCAGATTGTGTTTGCGGGGAATTTGCTAAGTTAGTGAGATTGATATTGGAGGATCAGAAAAAGATAGATTTGGCAGATTGGGTTGGCTTGTGAAGCACTGTTTGGGGTGTCTGATGATTGATAAGGGGGAGAATTATGCATGTCAGATAGTGCCTTGCTTGCACGTAGTCAATTTATGGCCTTACTGCCTTTGTCTGAGATTCTTCTAGTGCTTTTTGGATGATACTCTGTGATTGCATTCGTAATTTCGCCCGTCCCTTTCTAACACTGGATCAAGTCTCGTAAATCTTCTAGCATTAGACGAAAGGCCGTCACATCTCCAGAGTTCAAAACTCTATCTCATTGTGGCAAACTCTTCATCTTCGCTAAACCAGAAAGTATCATTTCATCCGAAACCACCACAACAAATTCCAACCGACCATATTCGTTTCCTCCTCGTACTTTCATCTCGCCTCATCATCTGCTATCTCGTATTCACTACTCATATCTTCAATGGCCCTTCAATGATTCACCTCCATACAGCCGAAGATTTCCCACATGACCCACACTCCTCGTCCCCCTCCCTTCTATCTATTTATAAGACACAATAAGCACTTTTGTGCTGTGATACAGCCCCGCTAGCTCAATGGTCAGAGCGTGAGACTTTTACGATGTAAAATGGGTGATCTCAAGGTTGCGGGTTCGAGTCCCGCGTGGGGCTAAATGCCTTCATTTTTGACGATATGTCTCGTTAGAAAATCCTTTTTCTTTCTTTAGAATTTTGTGGGAGAGAGAAAGGTTGGTATAAGGAGGGAAGTTTGAGCCTCGGGGATGAAGAGGGGTGGAATGCATTATGTTCTGTACCTTTGAAAGGGAGGAGAGGAGCAGTGTATCCAGATGGTGGATGAATTTCATGCTATTAGCTTGAGCACGAGTAAATTTAATGGCACCAGCTTGCTAAGTTGTACCCCATTACTCTCATTGAAAGCTGAAATTTCCTACTTTCACTTTGACGCGCCTTCATCAGAGTTTTTTGGGGCCTATGGCGGGGCGCACAAACGCTGTTTTTTGAGGCTGTCGGTGCCTATATTTAGCGACGACTCCGTAATTTTTCAGTGCGGAGACACTGTATTTTAGGTTAAGTGTAGCAGCGAGTTGGGCGAAATTTGAATACAGTCCTGTCAACACTTCGATTCATGGAGACGATTGGCCGTCTTACGATTTCTCTCATCAGATTGAGAAATGAATCCAGACATTGACAATCTCCCACACCATCTTCCATGTTCCGAGCTCAGAAAATCTTGATATATTTTCAAGTGAACTATGGAGTTGTTTCTTCGATCTACGAACCTTTCAGCCTCAACGTCACGAGTCTGCCACCATAAGTCTGTGTTTTCAGGGAACTTTACAAGGAAATCTAAATTTGAAATCATGAACTACTAAAGGTTAGTGAATAAAAAGTATCTCCGCCATTAATACATCGCGAACACAGAGTCTTACATTATAATCATTCATAGTCATTTTATATCTTTAAAGTGTCGCGATGAATTTAGGTGTCGGAAGCCAAGTAGCGGGGTTGTGAAGCCTGAAAATCGGCTAAAATATACCCTAAAAACACAGACTTATGGTAGCAGGCTCGTCAGTACATTTGTTGAAGGCAACTACGTCCTTGTCTCGAGACTTCGCGTTTGGTTGCGAGACATATTCGTCTTATATTTGAAATTCGGAAAGCTTTTGTGCCGCTGAGGTGGCTGAAGTGAGACGAAGACTCACGAAGTTCCGCGGTGGTGCAGGACATTCCACAGGCTTGTGTGACAACGGCTTGAACCAGCGCCTCAATCGGATTTTTTCTGAAGTTATCTTACCTCTCAATGCTTTATTTTTCCAAAAGCACCAATAGAGTAACTCCTGAGGATGAAAAATTGGCGGGGACGACTCCAATGAGGTACTTGCCGATCGTCTCTTTACTACGCGCCTGTCTCAGCCAGTTTAGAAATAGGTCCAACACAATCACTATGCCTCACGCCATGTTGTCATAGTGTGGCAATCGCTTGTCCATATATGTGGAAGGTTGTTGGCTGTCCCTGCTGGGTTCGAAGCACATTTTTACTCTCGAATTAGATTCCAAACTTCAATCTAGGACGAAGTAGTCAAGTTCTCGATTTACCTACTGAAATTTAGCAACCTTCTATCAATTTCATTCAGATCTGTGGACACACTTCTTCTGGTCGCTGTCAAGCAATACACTTGTGAATTTCAGCTACATAAGCAAGTAGGATGACAGTGCACAAGTAATACAACGTCTTCTATCAAAAATGGCTTCTTTAACTCCGGCAGAGCTTCTCCCCTAGTCTTGGGCTACCACACCACATGACCAAGGTTGAATTGGATCTTCTTAATAATAATTATTCTTATATTCAAAGACGAGCGGTATCGATCTTTCTGGATCAACGCAATGAAGCAGACCATGATCTCCGAAGGAGTCCTCCAACTCATTGCTCTTTACTACGAAGGCCATACAGTTCGCTTTGCCACTCAGCATGGGTTCTATCTGGCTCACCATTTTGACGGCAATCCCCATAAGTCAAATGCTTTGATGATGTATGTTCCAGCACTAATGTGTATTCTGGGAGGCGTGTTGCAGGCGTACCTGGGGGTTATTGCGGTATTTATTGGGGAAGATGGAAAGCAAGAATTTGAGGGGCTCCTTCCCTCAGTAGTGTGTGGGGTTGTGCTCGACTGGTTATTGAATTAGCTCTTCATCTCCAGCTTTGTGAGGCTTAGTGGTAATTTGTAAGTGTTCCGTTCCCAATTCGAGTGTACAGACTCACTTGCATAAGGTACTGTCCACCGAATTTCACACCACAAGGCTTCATTTGGGTAGTTGCATCTAGTTTTGGTGAGATATCACTTTTCTAAAGTCCTTTTCGTGGCCGACGCATCTGATTAAGAATTTTTCTGAGTACTAGGCTATGAAAGAGGTTGTAATGAAATGGAAAGGGCTTCTAAACGAGCTGCTCGTCGATGTATGGAAATCTGATTAGGCCATTACATACCAGTGCTACTATTAAGAATGATATCCTATGTCTACTCCAAACAGAACAATCCCACACACCTCTAACAGTTCTTGATGTAAGCGAGACTAAGCAATAACGAGAGAGAAATTATACCTGTTACTTCTACATATTGAAGTCAATGACTTGGAATAACTTCGTCATTGAACTTGAGGAGAGTCACTTCGAAGATTCTTCTTATCTAGAGTTCTGACTTGCTCATACCCCTTACGGATATTCAGGGGTTTCGAAAAAAGCAAGCTGCTCACGTGATCATGTAATGTCATTCAATAAACGAATACCTAGGTAGAATTCTCTACCATGGCTCATTCCACTTTCTAGCTGGAATCATAATAACTCCGCAAGAATAAATAGACAGTGATACAGCTTTTCAGAATTGATTGGAAACATCACATCATGTGGGAAGTCCCTGCGTTATGCAAGTCGTGCCAAGAAACCCGGTAGGGCAGAAGCCACTCACATCTCCACAGTCTCACAAGCTTCAAGTGAGGTTTGCGGACTTGCTCAATCTCTGAATCGGGACGTACAGACTATCGACCAGCCACATCTCGCTTATTGACGAGTAAAAAGGAGAGAGTGTCTCAGCTCCGAAATTGGCACCAATGAGGCTCGCCAAAAACAGCTAGCTCATCAACACTTGCGAAGAAAACCTTCATCGAGAACCGCGGCTGAGATTTGAGAGCCTCGCGCAATTTGTCTGCCTTGCCGTCTTTTTCTCTTGGCCATGCGGGAACACCAAATGCGTTGTTCTTGTGCAGCATTTTGGAGGAAGATCTCCCAAGGGTCGATGCAAAAATGGCACGCATATTTGTTTCAACTGTTTGAGGAACAATTGCTCTGGCTTCACCATTTCAAAGGGAATTTTCAAAATGGAGATGTTCCGATCATCCGATCAAAAGCTGAGTATTGTTTCTTCGCAATGAGGCTTGATGTCTTCACTTATCACACTTTGTTGGCTGGACTTCGTATTGGCGCACACGGGTTCAAAAGCGCCAAGGCTGGCTGAGCAACCCGCGCTGCACAACGTTCTGGGATGTTGAGCCCCAAGTTGTACTTGAAAAACAGCTTCCCAGCCTGATTCCACGATTCTTGAATTGTTCTCGAAATCCTTTTGCTCTTTCTTGCATGAGAGTCCAGACGATACCTGCCAGTTTCCGTCAATTGATATCTTCTCACTGCTATCGAAATTGAAAGCGAGCGCACATGCGCCCATTCAACATGCATTCAACTTTAATCCTCGGAATTTGCATGGCTTTAATGCCTCGGATTTTTGCTTCGCCCACTATCACAGCTGAGGAAGCGATGATAACATCGCCAGCTGATTTGAAAGCTCGACAAGCAAGCTCGGAATTGGTTGGTTGGTTATATATCACTGCATCATCTACATGTACGTAAACAAATTCCTATCCATCCTTCCTTCATTTGGGATTGTCTTCCCTTTACGATAAAAATATCGGACGAATCTTTACTGAATAAAATTCTTTGATAGATAGAGCTATAACTTGTGATTCTGATGCGACATGGCTGCAGTCTGGAGCATATGGACGATGCTGTCCTACCACTCTTAATTCGTGTGCCCTGGCCACAGGATGTGGGACCAGCGCACAGGTCTTTTATCCAACAACCACAGTCACTTGGTAAATTCCCCATCGAGCCATAATTTTAGACATTTTACTAATTCGATTTTGTAATTAGCATTACGGCCGGCAGTGAGTGTATTGTAGATTATGTTCTTGACAGCCTTCGAGGTTCCAGCACCGTCTATTGGATTGGATGCGGTAGTCCAAGAAGTGGCTCTACGCTTTACAGAAATTCACCAGGTGCTGCTACCACCACCAGACCGGCAACTACCTCTCGTAAGAGCCATTCAATTCTTCTGGAATATCATAAAATACTAACAGAGTCATAGCCGCGACAACGACAACAAGTCCAACAACTACCACAACACCAACTACTACTACCTCACCGACGCCAACTCCAACACCAGCTCCAGCCAAGTCCGGTCCCTCAGGAGCAGTGATTGGGGGTGCAGTGGGTGGAGGAGTAGGCGGAATCGCCATAATTCTCATCCTAATCTTCATCATCCACCACAAGAAAAAACAAAACAAGACAGCTCTCCAACCAGCCACCCAACAACAGCCAGTAGCCGTCTTTCAACAACCACCTCCAGGAGGCCAGCCCCCATTCAATCCTCAACAACAGCAAGCATATAATCCTGCATTCAATCCTGCCCAGCAACAACAACCATACAACCCGAATCAGCAATACCCAGCTGGTATGATGATGGCCGACAATGATCCAAGAAAAAACAGTTATTATGGTAGCTCTGGTCCTAGCAGTCCGGGAAGTCCACCACCACCGCAATATGCTGGCCAAGGAGGAACTGATCAGAAGGGATTTGTTTATGCGCCGACACCGATACCAATGCAGCAGACGAGCCAAGGAGCTGTGTTCTTGCCAGAGGCGGATTCAGGTGTTGCGAGTCCGAGATCTGGGGCAGTTGAGATGGGTACTGGTCGGTAATTGCTGGAGCGAAGTGATGAAAGAAAAAGCCATTGAAGTGGTTTTGGTGAGGGCGGTAGATGGCATTTGTATTCCGTTGCAGGGTAAATTACGACTCATGAATTTTAATGTTGGAGAAGCGGAT